TTCTTTAGCATGCAGCTGCGACGCGACGCTGGACAGACGAGCTGCACTGGAGAGAGGAAGAAACTGAACGGGTCAGATGACGAGGATTAAAACCCAGCTTTTTTCTAGAGTAGAAGATTTAACGGCTTTAAAAATAACTTACAAGCCATTTTTAAATTCTAAAGATCAGAAGAAGAGAACATGAAAAACAAGAAAACATGAAAAACCGTCACTTTAGAAAAGATGGCGGCATCGTTTTGTTTTACGAGTATTTGAACAAACATTTTCTCACTTAGAATCGTTACGAGGGTGAGCTTTAAGGAATACTTTAGGGGCTTTTAACAAGAAAAAGTGGATTTTAATCCTCAAAACAAACTAAAAGTTAACATTTGTAACCATTTTCAGATAATTTGCAGGAAAAGAAGCGAGCAACCCGAACCCAGCCTGCTGGTCCTGAGAACGATCACTTCCTTTCTGTTCGGAGCCTTCAGTGACACATTCACTCCATCTTTCCTGTTTCAGTCACGTTTGTTCACGGTAAATCCACGTAAACGTCACAGTAAACACGCCGTCGCCCCACCAGGGGGCAGCAAAGAGCTGAACCCAGCTGGACCCAGAGAAAAGCGGTTCGTCCAACCGGGCAGAACCGATTTCTTCTGGTTAATTCTTCACGGAATCGAAGCAGCGAGTGGAAAACAAAACAAAAAAAAAACAAAAAAACAAGCTGAATATTTCTCTCCTCACCATCATAAGCACAAATCCTACGGCTGCTCTCATGATGCCTTCGGTTCATTAGAGAGAAAACTTGAAGGCACAGATTCCCCTGATCGACAGGGAGGAAAACATCACCGTTTATCCTAAACGTTTAGTTTCACTTTTAGTGTTGGAAGTGGGAGTTTTCGCACTGAATCCAGGTATTTTTGATTCTGTTTCAGTGAAACGCCGCTGATCAGCTGTAAATCTGGAACCCAAACCAGCAGGAATACAGATTAGCAGCGAGGATTTTAGAGGAACGTCACTGACATTTAGGAGAAACCGAAGACGCTGCCGAGTGTTTGAGGCTACAAAGAAACGGAAATAAATGTAAAGATTCAGATCAGGAGTAGTGATTCAAGCCTTTCCCTATTGATTCAAGTAGGTAATTAGTAGTAGAGCCATGGTAGAGAGAAAAAAGGAGAAACTTTCTGCCAAAAAACTAACATTTTCTAATTTTTAAAAAAAAAATTCTGAGATTCATGGTAAAATTTCAAATTTATTTTCTAAAATTTGGAAACAGAGTTTCAACTGTCAAAAATTTGCTAGAAAAAGCTCAAATTTTGAGATCTCCAGGTTTCAAAAGTCAGAATTTTCTTTCAGAATTTTCAACTTTTGAATCTAAGAAATGTCCACTTTTTTTTTTTTTTTTTTTTTGAAAATTTTTTTTTTATTTAAAAATTTTCGGGGT